TGCTATTATACTGTGACGTTTTTTCATGATTTTGGACAACATACTATACTATGACTTTTTTTCATGATTCTTGACGACATACTATACGATGACTTTTTTTCATGATTTTTGACGACATATACTATGACTTTTTTTCATGATTTTTGACAACATACTATACTATGACTTTTTTTCATGATTTTGGACAACATAGTATACTATGACTTTTTTTCGTGATTTTTGACGAGTTGCTATACTATGACTGCTTTTTTCATGATTTCTGACGACTTGCTATTATACTGTGATGTTTTTTCATGATTCTTGACAGCATACTGTACTATGACTTTTTTTTCATGATTTTTGGAGACATACTATACTATGACTTTTTTTCATGGTTTTTGACGACTTGCTGTTATACTGTGACGTTTTTTCATGATTCTTGACAGCATACTGTACTATGACGTTTTTCATGATTTTGGACGACATACTATACTATGATGTTTTTTCATGATTTTTGATGACATACTATACTATGACTTTTTTCATGATTTTGGACGACATACTATACTATGATGTTTTTTCATGATTTTTGATGACATACTATACTATGACTTTTTTCATGATTTTTGATGACATACTATACTGTGACGTTTTTTCATGATTTTTGACGACATACTATACTATGACTTCTTTTCATGATTCTTGACGACATACTATACAATGACCTATTTTCATGATTTTTGACGACATACTATACTATGAGTTTTTTTCATGATTTTTGATGACATACTATACTATGATTTTTTTTCATGATTTTTGACAACGTACTATACTATGACTTTTTTGATGATTCTTGACGACATACTATACTATGACTTTTTTTCATGATTTTCGACGACTTGCTATACTACGACTTTTTTTCATGGTTTTTGACGACTTGCTATACTATGACTTTTTTTCATGGTTTTGATGACTTGCTATTATACTGTGATGTTTTTTTATGATTCTTGACAGCATACTGTAATATGACTTTTTTTTCATGATTTTTGGAGACATACTGTACTATGACGTTTTTCATGATTTTTGACAACATACTATACTATGACGTTTTGTCATGATTTTTGACGACATACTATACTATGACTTTTTTATGATTTTTGACGACATACTAAACTATAATTTTTGACGACATGATTGTTCAAGCCATAGTTTTCTATGATTTTTTTGTGTTTTTTTTTAATGACAAACTATAGTATGCTATATGCTATACTATCACGTTTTATCATGATTCTTGACGACATCCTATGCTATGACTTTTATTCTGGAAAATAAATCAACATACTATACTATGACGTTTTTTGTTCAAAAACATGGACATACTATGACTTTTTTTTATAATTTCTGACTGCATACTGTTCTATGACTTTTTTTCATGATTTCTGATGACATACTATACCATGACCTTTTTTTCGGATTTTTGATGACTTGCTTCACTTTGACATATAATATAATAATATATATAATATGACATTTTTTCATGATTTTTGCTGATATGCTATACTATCACATTTTTTCATGATTCTTGACGACATCCTATGCTATGACTTTTTGTGGGGGAAAAATCGACATACTATACTATGACTTTTTTCATGGAAAAAATCGATATAGTATACTGTGACTTTTTTTTTCTGGAAAAAAATCGACATAATATACTATGTCGTTTTTGTCGGGAAAAAAAATCGACATGCTGTACTATGACTTTTGTGGGGGGGGGGAATCTACATTCTATACTATGACTTCTTTAATGGAAATACTTGATATAATATAGTATGACTTTTTTTGTACAAAAAAAATGTCATACTATACTTTGACTTTTTCTCATGGAAAAAATCGATATACTGTACTATGACTTTTTTTGTTCAAAGAAGTTGACATATTATACTATGACTTCTTTCATGGAAAAAAATCAGCAAACTATAGTATAGTATATAGTTTTTTATTTTGAAACATGTCGACATACTATACATTGACTTTTTTCAAAAATTTTTACTGCATACTGTACTATGACATTTTTTCATGATTTTTGATGACATACTATACTATGATGTTTTTTCATGATTTTTAACGACATACTATACTATGACTTTTTTCATCATTCTTGACGACATATTATTCTATGATTGTTTTTGTGTGTTTTTTGATGACAAACTAGACTATGACGTTTTTTTCATGATTTTTGCTGACATGCCATACTATCACGTTTTTTCATGATTCTTGACGACATCCTATGCCATGACTTTTTTTTAAATAAAAAAATCGACATACTATACTTTGACTTTTTCATGGAAAATATTGACATACTATAATTTTTTCAAAATTTTTGACTGCATACTGTACTATGACTTTTTTTCATGATTTTTGATGGCATCCTATGCTTTGAATTTTTTGTGGAAAAAAAAATTGACCGTACTATACTATGACTTTTTTTTATCGAAAAATCGACATACTTTACTATGACTTTTTTTTCTGAAAAAATAAAAAAAACATTGACATACTATACTATGACGTTTTTTGTTCAAAATCTTTGACATACTATACCATGACTTTTTTCATGGAAAAGAAATCGACATACTATACTATGAATTTTTTTTTTTTCAAAGAAGTTGACATATTATACTATGACTGTTTTGTGGAAAAATAATTGAGATAGTATTCTCTGACTTTTTCCATAGAAAAAAATTGACATACTATATTATGATTTTTTCATGGAAAAAACTGACCAACTATAGGTCTGGACATCTTATGCTATGACTTTTTTTTCTGGGAAAAAAAAAATTGACATACTATAGTATGACGTTTTTTGTTCAAAATCATTGACATACTATACCATGACTTTTTTCATGGAAAAAATCTATATACTATACTATGACTTTTTTTATTGAAAAAAAATTGACATAATATAGTATGACTTTTTTGTGGAAAAGAAATTGACATTATAGTATGACTGTTTTGTGGAAAAAAAATCTAGATACTATACTCTTTTTTTCTTCAAAGAAGTTGACATATCATACTATGACTGTTTTGTGGAAAAATAATCAAGATAGTATACTCTGACTTTTTCATAGAAAAAAATTGACATACTATCAACTTCTTTTGTGGAAAAAAAAATCGACATACTATACTATGATTTTTAATGGAAAAAATTGACCAACTATAGTATGACTTTTTTCATGGAAAATATCGACATACTATACTATGACTTTTTTCTTCAAAGAAGTTGATATATTATACTATGACTTTTTTTGTGGAAAAAAAATTGAGATACTATACTATGACTTTTTTTCATTATTTTTAACAGCATACTATACTATGACTTTTTGTCATGATTTTTAACAACATACTATACTATGACTTTTTTTCATGATTTTTGACGACATAGTATACTATGACTTTTTTTTAATGATTTTTGACGACATACTATACTGTGACGTTTTTTCATGATGTTTAATGACATACAATACAATGACTTTTTTGACATATTATACTATGACATCTTTTTGGCATACTATACCACGACTTTTATTCATACTATACTATGACAGTTTCAGATTACTTTATAACAACATAGACAACTAAAGTGAAATCCAAAATGTGCAAAGAATGAAACCACAAGTGTACACAGTAGCTGCTACTGACATGAATTTTGTTACACCTTATGAACTAAAGTCTTTCTATGCTCCCGCATAGCTAATGGTAATAAATGGATACATGACAGATTTACTCTTAAGAAGGCATTCATTTTAAAAAATAAACAATAGGTCTTTAAATAATGATGGTATATGGATGTCACTGATACCTATGTTAAATGGAGGAAGAACCACCGAAATGAGTGCAAATTATCCCAGGTGTACTTTTATGCTCGTAAAACAGTGAACTTCTACAACACAGCAAAGAAAATATTAGAAAGCACGACTTCAGTTACTCCATCTTACAGAAAGTCATCATGTGGGGAGTACATTTATATTTTCTGTTAAGGAACAAACATAAAGCTTATCAACTAAATCGCTTGTCTTGATGTAACATTTTGGAAGAACATGTTTTCTGACAAGTTTGCCTCGTTTTCTAAATTTCACGCGTCATTTGCCTGCAGACTGTGAACATAATTAGAGCTTTAGACTGAGTAACATTCTCTTTTATCAGATGTCTCCTGGAGAGATGACACAGTATTTTCGTTTAGCTGAAGTACAGTCCAATGTCTCCTTTAAAAATGACATGTAATTTGTGATAAAATATCGGTAAGTGAATGCAGTTGAGAGATCTGTGTGATCATTGGAAAGAAACATTCACACCATGAAGTCACGTAATCACTTGAAAAGAACAGGTTGGTTGTGGCTTGTTAGATTGCTAAGTGAGTGAATTTGAAGTGAAATACTAAGTGTTAGACTGGTTAAATGGCTGAAAGTTTGCATGCGTGCAAACAAGACAATTTAATTTTATTCGTATGGCGCCAAATCACAAAGGTTATCCCAAAGCACTTTTCATATGTCTAGACCATTCTCTTTTATTTACAGACACCCAACAAATCCAGAGCTCTCACTACACAAAGTATTGAGAACCCCAGATTTGTAGAAACTGTTTCTTAAACTATCTTTCTATCCTTTGTATCTTCATTTTTTCTTGGCTACAATGACCTCACTGATAATTTCTTGCTTTCTGTCGGTGCTTACACAGTTTACACTGTGCCCTCTGTTTACAAAGTTACTGGGTTTTAATATTTTTTACAACTTACCATGAAATCTGAGCCACTATTTTCACATTTTAATTACAAAGGCATGATTCTCTATTGGACTGTAACTTTATTCATTTTATTTCAAGAAGATATCCAAATTACTGTCACATTCTTTGGTGATTCAAAGTTACAATCTGTAGCTGAATAACAGCTACTCGCCAGGATGCTGTTCAAACACTTTGTTAGGTCGCCGCACCTGCCAGTGAATTTGGGAATAAAAGGAGGACGCAGATGTGCACATACTAAGTTGCTTTTATTAATACAGAACTGCATGCTACAGAGACTGTACAGCATAAACATTTATTCATTACAAAAAAACATGGTTTTGGAACCATTTAAAATAACAGGAAAAACAAACAAACAAAAAGATAAGAGCATAAAATAGAACAGGAACATCACAGCCGTTAAGGAAACATTCAAACTATTTATCATTAGCATCTTAATAAACCAGAGAAGAAATCGACAGATTACAGTCGCGTCATGTCAACTACAATGGCACCGAGTGGATGATTCTCTTGTAGCTTTTTTTACAGCCTCTTGCAACATCAACATGCCTATTTTTTCTATCTACCTATATGTAGTAGTGTACTTAAAAGTGGCAGTTTGTGTATTTTTTTGTATTTAATAGTTTTTTTATGAACCTCCTAATATACATAATTTGGCCCTTGTGGGTTTATACAGTATGATGTCCGCCTTTTTATTAAGTTTAAATTTTAATATTTGACAATTTGCTACCAAACACATTTGTTATAGCAACATTTATACTACATACATAGCAATCTATGTAACGTCACAGCAAAGAATGGTATCGAAAATTAAAAAAAAAAAAGAAAAGAAAAAAACAAACGACAACGAAACAAAAAAAAAAAAAGGATCCCTACAGCATGGTTAGAGGGGCAGAGAAAATTATCACAAAATTTGGCACGGAAAATCTGTACACGAATCTACAGTCTGAGAGATGTGACTGTGCAATAAAAAAGAAGGGCTTTAGACACTTTTCCAACTACTGAAGACACGGTACCCACTGTCTCTTGTTTCAAGTTTTCTTTTCTTCTTTTTGTAAAATGGCTTATAGACGCATTTCTTGAAATGAAGTTGTGCATACTTCTGTTCATGAGATCTACACAGTACACTGAGTGGAATCCAGGTTTTCAGCGAGGAAAGAAATCAATAACAAAAAGATTTGCCTTTTAAAACCTCCTTGTAAAAATGGATCATTCATATATAAGTCGCTTACCTTAAGAAAAAATATTTGTACAATGTATTAAGAAAAAAAAAGTCAAAAGAGACACGTACAAGGTACAACAAGCAATCTCTAAAGCAATAAATACTACTGGTCCTAGCGTTGTGACATTTTGAATTTAATAACCCTCAACCCTCCCACCCCGACCTCCCCTCAAGCCCACCCAACTTGCCTGACTCCGCCCCAAAGGTAAACAACAAAGAAAAAGACAACGCAGTGGAAGAATGCATATTTAACACAGTAATCCCCCCCCCTCCCCATTATTCTGTACATTTAAACAAGAACAAGTAACATCACAATTAAAGTTGTTCCTCGGAGAGGTGTCACCGCTAGCCTCATGCCCTCCTAGAGTTTGAACAGATGTCAAATGATTGGTTCGCAAGCTCGTATTTAATACAAATAAAGAAGGAGAACCAACTCTTTCAAGAAAAGGGCTCACTGAATAATCTAGCCTACCTTTTTATATCCGTCTTTTAAACATTTTGAAGTTGAACTAGATAATTTTTCTGTTTGCACTGTTTAACACTACAAAAAAGACAAAACAAAATTCATAAAAATTTTGGCAGATTCACAAAGCTATACTACAGCTCATTGTATCATTTCTTTATAATAATTAGATTTTTTGATAATGATGGGTCAAATATTGACCAATGAACTTTAATAAAACAAAAACTAAAATTTCAAAGCCGTATGGCACAGAAACGTAAAGAGAAAAGAACCAACAGCAAGTGAAATATAGCAGAGAGAGGGCCTAGAAAGGTGTGTTTGTGTGTGTGTGTGTGTGTGTGTGCGTGCGTGCGTGCGTGTATGTGTGCAGAGCTAGAAAAGAGGAGAAGAATAGGGTAGACTATTCTATAGACTTGGTCACTAGCGACAGAGGCTGAGGGGCCGTGGAGGGGAGGAGCGAGTGGGAATGACACAGCGATGCCGAGGGCCGGGCCATTGAGGACGCCACAGAGGAGCCCGGCTGCCGCGAGGACGAGACGTCACCGTGCTCCAGGGCTCCGTTGTGGGAGGAGGCGCCGGGCGTTTTCCTAGCTGCAGCAGAGTTTTCCAGCTGAACCAAAGATGGCGGTGGAGGCCCAGCCAGGAGGTGAGGGTGGTGGAGTGGCTGGTGGGCCGGTTTCATAGTCAGTGAGAGAGGTTGCATTTGTTCAGTCTGAGGTTTGGACTCTTTTGAGGAGGGGGAGGGAACCACTGAGGAGGGGGAGGATGGGGGGGAGTCTAGTAAGCTTCCGTCCGTAGAGGGAGGACTGGCACAGCTGCCTTCACCTTGGATGTAGCGAATGCACTTTTTTTTTCTCCTGGGGGACAAGGCGAGACACAGAGAGCATCTTTTAGCATCACGTCTTCAAACCGCATCGCCTCTTAGCACTGCCGCCGACTTAAATGCACCTTGTTTTAAATTTAGTCCAACCGTTCCATGAAACTGGTTTCACATGACGGATTCGCAGGTGCGTTTAAGCGGCTCGTGCTAAGACAAGAGGTGGTAGAAATGACAGTCGACTTTCAAATACTAAACCATCAGACAGGACAGACATGAAGGAAAGATCACAGGTGAAGCAGCTGGACAGGAAGCAGCAGGGAAATGAGAAGCACACACAGAGATGATGATGGTGATGATGATGAGAGAAGATTAGATGTAGTAATAGTTTGCTCTCTGGATGTAAACTCAAGCCTGTCTTATTGGCAGAGCTCCAGCTGGGGATCAGCATGTTCTCTCCAGCAACACACAAGGTTACTGGACCTGTCTCACTCGTCTACCTCGATCTGGCCCTACTCTCTCTTCTCCTGAGGGGACAGAGTTTGGATGCGAGGCGAAAAAGTCAACAAGATCCACACTACTACTCCGCATCTGCCCCACAGACACGAGTGTGCGTGTGTGCGTAAGGGGTCAAGGCATCATGTTTGCATTCCTGCCTGGGGTCGGGACCCTCCCCCCTGCCTGCCGAGTCCCGAGGCCAGACCCGTTGCGCTCCGTGGAACCCGGCGAACGAGCAGGGGAGGGGAGGGGGGGAGCTGGGAGAGTAGGGGATTGTTGCATTTTGTCTGCGGTGACTCTCCTGTGAAGGCTGTGCTCAGATTTGGTTAAGGGGGAATCTCTGCCCACCTCATCTTTACCCTGACCCTGACAGTGACCCCTCTCTCAGCTCTCCATTCTATCACAAAGATGCCTGAAGGCCATGGAGTATTAGTATTTAAGACTCACAGGGACAGGGAGTAGGTAAAAACAAGACTAAGGTGTTTTTATTGAGGCTTTTGGAGCATATGAGGCTGATCTGCTGTTTAAGTGAGGCTGTTGGAAGCTTTCCCTGTAACTCTGATGGGGGAACAGTCTACGTAAACACGGACAAAGAGAGCAGATTATTGAGAATGAAAAGGAAGAGGGACATCGACAAATCACATAAAAAAGGGCTCACGAAACCTTGTTGCATGCCAGGGTGAAAGACAAGCATGCATTTCAGATAAGCTCGACAGTACAGGCACACGACAGCGGACGGTATAGAACACTAGAAAAGTCTAGAAAAAAGTGGGGATAAGGCTTTTAGTGCACCCTACACTGATACTGCAGCGCTGGGTGGTGCGGTGTATCGACCGGCCGTAAAAAGCTATCATTTGCCACTACATAGACATCTTGCTCTCGATAACTGTCTGTCAAACTGCAACAAATGAGCTAATATCCATTTTTTAACAGACATATCGATTCATAGTATGTGCCCGTGTATGTTATTGATTTTTGCCGTCTCGGGGGAAATTACACCAGATGCATCTTTTAGGAAATGGAGCCCAGAGAGAACTTTTAACCTCTCGGCTCCTAAAACGAGGACTGAATTATCGCGCTTTCCAGTCTCCTGATCTCCTGATCTGCTATTATTGTTTAAGGAATAATGCGTTGTTGTATTTATTTATTTTTTTATCGTGTGTGTTTCAGCTGGGAGGGAAATAAGAGCCAAGTGGAAACACCGGCAATGGCGGACTGTGAGGGAGTGGAGTGTGATGTGCTACTTGCTTCAAAGACGATTTTAACAGCAAGAAAGAGTAGTTAATGTGTTAAATTCTTGTTGGACATTCAGTGCATTTAAAATCATGACAAAAATGGAGAAAAAATATTCTATTAAACAGCTAAAAATGGCCTCTTAATGCTGCTAAAGTTTGACTTCGGCCCTTATGAGCGACTAAAACGACACATGAAACGTGTAGAAGCGGAAACAAACAATGTGTTGCGATGGCTGGTGTTGGAAGAGTTGTGTCGAGAGAGAGAGGGTGGGGCAAGGGTGTGGTGCAAGCCAGACACAGAAAAGGGTATTACTTAGCAGAGACAAATACCTACCATGAAAATATTCCCAATTCAAAGACTGCTTGTGTCAGAACAGAAAGACAACAGGTAGGGACTAAGTAAGGGTTATTGAAGAGGAGTTTGGAGGAAGAAGAGGTGGAGAAGGAGGAGGAAGAGGGCACAGAAAAGAGTGTCACTGAGCAGGCCCTCAGAGAAAGCAGGGCTAAATTTGTAAGCATAACATTGTTATTCAAAAGGACGCCAATTAGAACATACATGACAGTTAAGATGGGAGGGAATTATCCACTGCATGGAGAGAAAATGGATTTCAACCAGACTGTAAGACGTGTTATTCCAAATGACATTAGGGAAGCATGATCTTTCAGCAAGATATTTTGAGATAAAATACTCAGTAATCTTATTTAGAAATCCATTTTCTGCCACTGGGCTTGAACCGAGTTCAATGAGGAAAAAAAAATTGCTGCGAGGGAATTTATAGCAGGAAGCTCCTCAGTAAGGAAAAAAAGGAGCAGAGGAGTTTGCCATCTGTTACCACACTGATGGAAAAGCATTTTAAGAGGGATATCTGAGCAAATAATCAAGGAGAAGAAGCTGCTCATTGTGGATGTCTTCCTCCCATTGGTACTACAGCAGTTATACCTGCATGGTTTGCACCATAAACTCAGCTGGTCAAGCCCGAACAAGGCACGACACTTCTTTGGGGTATTTGCATCTGTTAGCCAAAGAGGTAGACACAAACATACACACAGAGACAAAAACACAAAAGAAAAAGAAAGAAAAAACAAAATGGACACGTCATTGCACGGACAAAAACATGTAGCCAGGGTTTAGGTTTAGGCTGGCAACACTGGGATGTCCTCCATATTGAACAAGCCATCAGGCTCCAGATCCTCCAAGCCCCGACCTGCCAGTTTAGCCTGCTTATTGTACTGTACATCCTGCAACGAAACCCCAAATGTTTCTTCATCGACACATACGCATTCACACGCCATTCATACACACTCTGGCATATGCTGTTAATACCCTTCTTCCCAAACAGCAGGTAAAAAAATCAAATAGTGGGAACCTAGAGATAGACCGGCAGGGCGTGGCTGGAGGAAGCTGAGAGGTCACGATAGCCTGGCGGTGACAGACAGACAGAGGGAGGGGGGAGGAGAAGAGGAAGAGAAAGGCAGCAGCAAGAGAGCCAAGGAGGAAGTCCCAGTGTACAGTTTACCCAGCCTTCACCTGGCCCTGGCCAGTGCAAGCACACACCATACACACCTGCACGGGCCACACCAGTTATTCTGTTGATCGAGCCCAAAGCGCGCTCGACACTTCTTAGGAGCGCTCAGGTCTGATGCCGCAACAGAGGGGGGGGGGGGGAGCCAGCAGAGAGAAGGGAAAAGAACCAAAAACCAAAACAATAAGGAACAGAAATCAAGAGGAGGAGAGAAATAAGGAGAAAAAACAGGTAACAGTGAATCTATGAAGCTTTGCAGTGGCTCAATGTGCAAGAAAATCCCCCCCAAAAAACACCCGTAAAGCCATTCTCAAGTGTGCCTTTAAAGACTGTTTGAGACATTAGTACGAATCAAAACTGCATGCAAATGATCAAATTAAGATTAATAACGACTCTAAAATCTGACTGGAGTTAAAGCTGAAGATGCGTATGTGGTTGAGAGGGTATAAGTGGAGCAAATGCAGGTTGGAGTGATTTACCACTAGGTGTTACAGTGCACTATGGTTTCAAAAAGACAAGGTTAAGGTGGCAGAACTAGGCAGCAGTAGCAGACTGCTAAAACAGCACGGTCGTGAGTTAGCCCTCGCCAGGGGAAGGATTAAAAAGGCTGGAACCTGAAGAGGGAATCTACTCCTTAGACCTGGCATCAAACACTTGACTGTTTTCTACCAACGTTGGCTGTCTGGTGCAGGAAAAGCTGCCAGTCACTTGCTAGCTCTACCCGGCGACTGTGCGGTTCCCAGAAGTAGAGCGGAGTGACAGCGGAATATGGTGGCGGAGTGTTTGAGGCCAGGTCTTGGGGAGTAAAAGGGGAGTAAAGCCAAACTCATGCTGGCCTGTAGGAAAGGCAGCGCAGCTACTGAAGCGTACAGATTAAGGAGGTTTACCCTGACATCACATCCTTCAGGTCATACTCCACAATTATAATCTAACTTTATATAATCAGCTCCTCAAGCATACTGCATAGTGCCAAAATATGGAGAATGCTCTAAAACTAAATAGCAACATGAGTAAATGGAGGTAATGAAATATCATCTAGCTGGAAGTCAAATAAATGGCAACATTTTAAGAAAAGAAAAGCAGCAAACAAAGCAAAAAAAGAGCATTTTCATATAGTTTAATCTTAAACCTGCCTCATATGTGCACATTCATTGATAGATAAATATACATTGATAAATAAAAAAAGAAGAAAAAATAAAACAAGTTAGTAATTTAATACTCAAAATGACATTAGCACCTGTAATCGGAGGGAGTGAAAGGCAAGGGTTTGGAAAATATTCTCTGTGTTCTGAAAAAAAAAAGAACAGATAGAGAAGCCTTCAAGAAGAAATCCGTCACCAAACGAGCGCAAAATACACAATGACAAGTCGCTCCTCACAAAATGATCAGAAGAATCATGGGAATCAAATCATAGAATTAGCAAACCTCCTTAATTTTAAGATGTAAGAGATTGTTTTGTTTTCTTATGTTGATATAAAAGCATGCATGAAAGCAAGCAAGGGGCAGCCCAACAAGCGCGCACACACACACACACACACGCACGCACCCACACACACAGAGTACAGTAGTGCAGGCTACCTACAGGGCACAGGCATTATAAAACGGGGCCACGCACACAACACTAGCAAAGTTAATGGCTCTCACAATGCTTCAACTTCACATTCTCAAAACATACATATCACAATACCAGAATGCTAAGGGGCAAAGTGGGGAGGGGAGGAGGGGAGGGAGGAGGGGGGGTGTCAAGAGGGGAGGTGAGGAGTGTGGGGGGGTCATGCATATTCAGTTGTTATTAGCTGGGGAAGGCTCGGGAAAAATGGGAAAAGGGGGGTATTACAAGCAACTCTACCATTTAAATATTGCATTGGGTAGCATAACTATACAAAAAAAAAAGAAAGAAAGAAAAAAGCCAGGCACAATAACACACACACACACACAAAAAAAAACATAACACAAAAAAACTAGCTTGACTTTTATCTTGCAAGATGTCACATCTGCCTGACACATGATGGGGCTCTTCTAATATGGGAGATAATTGCAGCTCACTTACCATTGCTCTCTGCTTGCTGCTTTTCCCTTTTTCTCTTCTTCCTTTTCCCCTGTTGGTTAGCCGCCAAAAAAATAGAAAGAAAAAAATAGACACAGACAGGAACCTTAGTTATTATATTGCAGAATGCCCAAAACATGAAACAGAGAATAGGACTCTTCTTTGTGTTTACTTATTTATTCATTCATTCTTTCTCTGCCTGTTTTTTCTTCCTCTTTCTGTCTCTGCCCTCCGGTTTGTATCAGCCACTGCAGGCCAGACCAGAACTCTCCCTTCTCTCTGTCTTTCTCTACTCTTTTCTTCTTTTTTTGTCTGTAATCTTTTGTCTCATTTTCCTCTGCTCTGTGAACATCTAGACGTCTTGACGAGCTTCTGCTTTGGGAGACAGATTTCTCTAAGGCTGCTCGTGGATGATTGGTCAGCTCGATCCCAAAACTGGACGAAGCTGATTAGAGTCTGCGTGCTAATGTGTCTGAGGCGCAAAACATTCACCGAGGATCCATATTAACAACATCAGGGTCGGACTTTGTTACAAATATCCCTTCGTGTCACAGTAAGGTGGGCTTAGGTCTCAGATATGCACATCAAAAGAAAGTTACAAGAAAAAAGGGATCCCTCAGGCTAGATAGAAAACAAAGAGCTCATCCTGGTCCTGTCACCTAGTGAGAGGGGAAAAGAAGAGGCCCCCCGACTTGTAAACTTAAAAACTTACATAGTTGTCTCGTGCTGACCAGCCGGGGTACAGCTGCATGTGGAGCTGTCGCTCTTTCCTGGCCAGCTCGTAGTACTTGGCCTGCTCCTCCCGCGATAGGGCATGCCACTGTAAGAGGAAAAACAAGACAGGAAGAGAAAGAGAGAGAAAGATTTTTCATCATGAGCAGGAAGCAGATAGCATACAGGTTGTGCATAGGACTTCAATTTGAAATCAGGGTGTCTACAGGTATCAAGACACTTAGATTTAATGCTCTTAAGGGCTTTTAAAGATCATTTTAAAACACATTTGTGACTGATGCTTGGACAAATCATCTTTTTTTTATTAAAGCATTATGGGTAAGTATAAATTTAAGGTTGTGGTTTCATGCAGAGGTAGATTTTATGTCGGAATATGGTTATTGAATGTGGTTTTATGTTGTACTATAGTATGTTCTTAATGTTTTTGGTTATATGGTTATGTCATTGTTTTATTACCAGTGCTTACAACATGTTGATTAAAGTGCACTGTCCCTTTCTAAATAAAATAAACATAGATAAATCTACAAGAGCTGCAATGATGAGTGTATTAATCAATTAGCTGATCAAAAGAAAATGAATCGCCGACTATTTTGATTGTCGATCCATCATTTTGGTCAAATTTTCCAGCAACAATGTCAACCTTTTGCTGCTCCAGCATCTTAAATGTGAGAATTTACTGCTTTTCTGTGTCATTTATGACAATAAATGAAGAGTTTTGGGGTTTCAGACTGTTGGTTGGTAAAAAGAAGCAATCTGGAGACATCCCTTTGGGCTCTTGATGAGCACTTTTTACATTCTAAAGACTTAGTGATCAATTAATTGTGATCATCGGGAGAATGATTGTTAGTTGCAGCCATATAATCTACATTTGCTCACAGGTAGGTGGTAAGTATTAAGTAAAAAGACAGTATTAGGTTCCACTTATGTTATCAGAGAACTGGGGTTACCTTTGTAACCTAAAGTTCAGTGATTTAAAGCTTTGTAATATAAGAAATGTGGACTTACACACAGAAGAGCTTGACTTGTTTTGAATTAAGATAGATAAATTAAATAAGATGAAATGTCTGTGGAAATTAAGATCACACAAATCCTTTTTTTTATTAGGGCCTAATGTTTATCAAATTAAAGACATTTTGAGGACCTGCAAACACCCTGTGCAACACTGGGCCATCAGGTCACCATAAAAACCTTTTTATCTTCAAACAGGCCTGTGAATCCCAATCATGGTCCTCAATTACCACATCTCTGCTTGTCTTCTCTGCCACCAAGGTGCATTCATTCAGCTTAAACCCCAGGTGAAAATCAGCCCACGTTTACAGTAAAATCAGCAGGGTGGAAGGTCCCGAGCACCAAGACTGGGAACCACTGTGATGAACCCTTAAGTCTGATCACTACAGTGTTGTTGTGCGTCCAGTGATCTGTCAGGACTCACCCTGCGCCCCAGGATCTGGTTGATGGCAGCACTTTCCTTCAGTGTGCACTCAGCCACCACCTTGGCCCGCATCTCCTTCATGTAGAGCATGAAGGCGTTCAGGGGCTTCTTTATGTGGACCTGTTTCTTTTTCTCCTCTTCCTTTTTAGCGTCTGACTGTTTCCTGTGGAGGAGCAGAGGGTGACAAAGGTGAGCAGAGTCAAACCTACAACCGGGACTGAAACGTGCGTTCAGGGGCAGTGAAAGTCTACTCACGAGCTGTTGAGAGAGATGTCGCTGTGGGAGGATTCCTGCTTGACGTTGGGTGTGACGATGGCTGGGTGTGGGATGCCCGTGGTGTGCAAACTGTGGTGAGGGGGCACCATGTGTGGGGGGAACCTAGAGGACAGAAGACTGTGTAAATCGTCAGAATGGACAAGGGTGAAATGAGAAGATGGAGCACATGTATACACAAGACTAAAGGGGCTCAATTCCATTTCCATCTCTCAATGGCATGTCAAAGTAAATAGTGGGTTTTCAATTTCTCTCAGAGAAATGGAATTGGCCTTTAGCCACAAAAAAGACATAAATGCACATACAAACATCCACATAAAAATGTCCAAGGCTGATTCCTGTATTCACAACCTGTTTGATTTTACTACTCAAACTGAGTGTCGGATCAAATGTCACACAATTTAATTTGAGCGCAGAATTCAGCCTGGACAACTACTCACTTCACGCATAAGGTTTAACAGCAAATTATGGCAAACCATCACCAAACATCAGTAAAATATAACTCAAAAGCATGAGCGCTACATTGTGTGGCAATAATTAAGTGCAAGCGCACAAGGATAAATCTCTTGAATGCCCTTTTTTGAACAACCTAAAAAAAACCCTACACAGTGAACACTTGAGCCAAGTGCATTTCTTCACCTTTATTTAATCGCAACCTCATTGAGATTTATAATCTCTATCAAGAGTGTCCCAACAAATACAGGCAACAATTCATGTAATAGATTCAATTTAACGTGTTAGCTTGAGGGCTCTATGCACCTTGAACTTTTCTATTCAGAGTAGTTACAGAGAGTGTGCAGGCGGATGTAGTATCAGTGCCTCCCATAGCTTTTATCAGTGCTGAACCCCCCCCCCCCCCCCCCCCCCCCCCCCCCCCCCCCCCCCCCTCACATTAGGCTTGCACCTGCCCTCATAACTGTCAATAGGGATGGGAATAGCTAAGATTCTATTGATAACAACACCAATATTGATTCTGCTTATCGCTCTCACTCTTTATTGATTCCCTTATTGATTCCTGATCCAGATTTTCAGTGTTAATGCAACTGTTTTACTATCTCTGAGTCTGAACACAGTGGCGATGAAATGCTAAAATATTTGTACAGAATTTTGTTTTCATTTAGATTTTTATTAGTCAAAGCATATCGCACAATGTTTAAAATCACTATGTTAAGCCTGCCTGTGCGGCACTAGTGTTATTAGGGGTGGGTAATATAATCAATACAGCACAGTATCGCGATATTTTGTGTGCCAATATAGTATCGATTTTCTTTAGTATAGAAATGATTAACATTGCAAATACAAATTAGACTTTTCATAGCCTATTAGAATAATAAAATCAATTGCTTTTAAGTCCTCTAGACACATTTTGTTGCCATAAAAATGACTGGCATGAGAAATTTTATATGCGATTACAAATAATGAATAAAACAGGTTTTGACAAAGTTTTTCTTTGGGAACATAATTTGCAGTTGAATAAAGGAAATAAATCACGATATATCGCAATATATTTTATCGATCTACTCAGCGTATTGCACAATGTATAAAATCCCAACAATATTGTGCACTGACAAAAGTATCGCGATAATATTGTATCATGGGCCCTCTGGTGATTCCCACCCCTAAATGTTTATGTATTTCCCTCGGTAATGGACGCGCTGCTTGACTAGTAAGCAGCAGCACTCATGCGTAGAGCGTCAAATACATGGTATTCCTGGAATTTAAGCCCAGGTAGTGTACGAAGTTGTTGCATCATATGGCTGATGTTTTCCTCCTAACTTGACACGATTTTTTTACAATCATTACAAGCAGCACTGTTGTTACTTTCTTCATAAAATGAAGCTTTGGACCTCCCCACCGCCATGGCCCCTCCTTGTTGTTTTTAGCAAGTTATATCGCACAACAGTTACCATCTCCACAATGTCCACTACTTATTTGTTTGTACATTACTGCTTAGTAGATAGCAGTAGTGCACCTTGTGTGGATCTAAACCTAGAAGAGAAATGTGTAACTTATGATTTGAGGGCTACTGTGGGGAATGAGGTAAAAATACAAGAACGCAGTGCTGTGAGCAAGCAATGCAGGCTCAGACATGGTCAAAGCAAATTCACTAAGTGGTTGAAGGACAACATTTACAGTGGCTGGCTGACATCATCCAGTGAAGCGTACGAAGCGAAATGTGAACTTCATCAAGTGCTATGCTAGCACCATGCTCGTGGAGTCGTTCCTCATGAACTGAAAGATGAATTGTTCTTTTATGTCTGATATTTCTAAAGCTACATAACCTATTTAAAAAACACTACAAGTCTAGGTTGTTGATTTCTTTCGTCACAGTGATGGTATTGGTTTTTTTGTTTTCCTTGTAGAGGCATTAAAATCATCTTAAAAGTAAAAATTTGTACTAAAAAATGTGCAGATACTCTTATTTGACGTCATTGTTTTGCAATGCACAATTGTCAGAAAAATTTGCTGGCACTGATAAAAGGAACAAATAAGCTCAGAGGCATACAATTCCAATGGATCAGACGATTTGGAGCTGATTCTCAACTGAAACCAGTTCCCTATTCCCATCCCTAATTGTCACCTATGATAGCTGAGGAAATGGTTTCCAAATAAGATTTAAGTGACGATAAAATGCTCCGTCTTTCATACAAATGCCAACGTATAACTTCAATTCATTTTTATATTTGAGGAAGCAGCATTTTTTAACAGTGGCACTGATATGAAAATGCCAGGTTTTGGAGGGGTAAAGCTTGAACCATTATGTCTTATCAAGGAATATTGCAAACTAGATTAAAATGTTCTATCAAAGTCTAGTATCACTTCAGGTATTGGGTCTCTATTTGCTTCCTCCCATTCTTTTCTGCCAGTTCAGCACTGTCAGCAGCACTGACATTTTTATCTTCATCCCTCTACGCTCCTATCATCATTCTGTCGTCTCCAGCCCGCTCCACGTATCGAGGCCAGAAACCCTTATTTATGAAATCGTTTCACTGGCTACAACAGCCATAAGACACTGCTGCACTATATGTGCCAGTGTATGTATGACACTAATTATTTGTGCCAGATTATTTGAACGCATCTATCTGCATGCGCATGTTTACAGCGTGGCACCTCAGCTTCACGTGACCACACACAAATTTAAGAGAAGAGAGGAGGATGAAGGAGAAGAAAAAAAGGAGGAATAATTCTTTTTTTTTTTTTTTTTTTTAAAGCAGCTCATTATCCGGCTGTGTCTGGCTGCATGGCTCCGAGCCAGAATATAATGATGAGGATAAACTCGCCAGGAACAACTACTTTCTGTTGGAGGCCATCTCAGGGGAGTGCCAGTGCGCTCCCCCCTCAAACTCTTTCCCTCTTTTTCTCCTTTCCCCTCTTCTCCCTTCATCACTGACACATTGGTGTTTGTGCCATGTCATCCGTTGATGGGGAGCTCGGCAGCAGTGGCTGCATATCGCCCATCATTAGGGCTGCTGCATTTTCCTCGCTCACTCCGTTTCCTCTCTCCCTGTTCACCCTCCCTCCTTCTCTCTCTGTGCACTTGTTAAAATTTCCTCTGTTCCAAGATCTATTTTTTCTCCTCTTCTTCTCTTTTTCTTCTCCTTCTTCTTCTTCTCTTTTCCTCCCTGTCCCCTCACCACCTCCACACTCCTTCGCTTCCCCTCTTCCTCCCCCCCTTCTCCTCCTGCTGCCACTGCATGGCCCAGGTTATGGTTTAAACATGACGGCCATCCCTTTGAAGCGTGGGGGCATCATCATCATCATCCGGGCTCATCAGCGGCAAGCGGCGCCTTGGACCAATTTAACCAACACAGTGAGGGAGAAGCAGCGGAGACCCCCACCCATCCACCCACCCCAACCCTGGGGCTCCTACGTCTCAATCTAAAAAGGTAAGAATGGCTGGCGGTGTTGGGGTGGGGGTGAGGGGGGGTCACAGGCGCAGCAAGCCCAGTGTCAGCCAGTGCCATTTAATTGCCAATGCGAAGCAGTAGCCCCCGTGCCTGTTTAATGTATAATGATCCGGCCGGTGCACTTCTCCCGTTCCCAAGGAAAAGATGATGGGGGAACATATCAAAGGGCAGGCTTAAGCATAAGGGGCAAAGGGGCCTTCACATCCTCCTACCTGTCACACATACATTCACACGCACACACAATATCAGGGACCTGCACTGGCTCCAACCCCATTATCAAAATAATGTCTTTCATTTGCTCCGCTGACTGTCTCTTCTCTCCTTGGCTCCTTTTCCCTGCCGTCCGAAAAGAATGCATTTTTTAACAGGACCTAGGTGTAAGGTGCTCATTGCAGGACTACCAGGTACCAGATTCCTTCCCTGCATCCTAATTCAGCTCGGGCTATGGCACAGGGGACTGATACTGAAGCGGCGCGCTCCTGCAAAGAATCGGCTCTCGACAAGAGTACAAGGCCAGGATGTCTTTTTCTCTCCCGATTTCCTCCAGTCAGCCTGCTCCCTACAAATCGTTTGAGCTATCACAACAGCCCGGTCCATTCTTTGAACAAAACCGACTAGCTGAAGGCTGCGTTTGAAAGGCTTCTGCAATTTTTGCTGACACAATTAGACTGATTTTTACTAGATTTTGTCAAACAAATTGATTTTTTTTCCCTGTCAAAGCCAGAATTTAGCTTTTTTTTACTAGAAGTGTTAAACCCTCCCATTCTCCAGAGAGCTCCCACAGCCCTCCATCTATTCAGTTATACTAATTCAATTAGGGGCCTCATCACAGGGCATTAGCTCTTCCCCATGGCCAGTCCCCCACCCACACCCCAGCGAGTATATTCAATTAGCCGCACTGGAAATAAGATGATCACAATGTAGAGGCTGTCATTAAGGGACCAAATTAGCAGTCACTTAAAGCCCAGGTTGGCTGGGTGCTGCTGCCAGATGCTGATGTCTGGACAGGCCCGCCGTCTGACCCCCTGCACCTGAGACTTGTTTGGGAGTGGCAAATCTGACTCTGATCCAGACACCTCTTCTTTAAATGTAATGTTTGATGGTGTATGTATTTAAAGCGCAGTTTGACAGCAAAAAAAAAAAAAAAGCTGCAAAACTGAACTTTCTGGAGCTTGCAAACTCAGCTTTCCCTTATTCTCTTGGCTTTAAAAAATGTCATTCCCCCTCGTGACTCCTCCCTCCCTGCATCTACATGATCCATCAATGTCACAGAGGTCTAAACACGCCGCCCTCAGGAGCTGCTTTTCCAATCAGGCTGTAATTAAACTGAAGCTTGGCCTCATCCCTAGACTCTAAACCAGCCCTCTCCACAGTCCCCTGCTGCAAGGGCGTGTAGAGGGGAGGGAGGGAGGGAGGAGGAGGAGGAGGAGGAGGAGGAGGAGGAGGAGGCACTGGAGTAGCAAGCTGTTTGTTTTTGTGTTGTTGCTTTTTTGGGGCTTTTAGTCATCTAAAATTAATTCTTTTCCACACAATATAGAGGACATGCGTCCCTCAAGGGAACAGTAAGTAGTTTAACACCGACTGACAAACACGCACACATGTATACAAGATGGCAACAAATACACATACCCCCCATGGGTGCACTAATGTCCACAGCAGCACTTGAGCTGGACCCTAATGGGCTGGACCAAAGCACTAGCCAAGTGTCAGGCCCCGGCTTAAATCATCTAGTCCCCCCTTCAAAGTGTTGCTGTGTTTGTTTATCTGTCTGGCTGCTCAAACTCACAGCATGGACATGCCCCAGCTCATTTCAGATCTGCCTGACATGCAGTGGGGGTAAATGTTCTTCAGGGGCCTCATTAGAAAATGATAAATATAATTAATATTTGAGCATGCTAGCTGGAGCTCCACACTGGAGAATTGGCCTTTTGAACACAGAGATGGGGAGCGCGGGGTCTCCTTAAGGGAGAAGTTGCTGCTCACTGTCTCTGCGTGTGCGAGCATGCGTGTGTGTTGCTTGCGCATTGCCCTCACAGCCAACACAAACACACAATAAATGTACGAGGGAGTGAGGAAGAGTGCGTGTTTAGCTCCTAGGTCTCAACTCACCTTGACATGGATGCGTTGACAGTGAGCGCAGTTGGGTAGGGGTGTCTAAAACCCCCTGTTGTGATTGGATAAACAGGTTGACCTTGCCTGGGAAGGGAGAAGAAAAGAAGAAAGGCGAAAAGGTAAAGGAACAGGGTTGATGGAAGAGGAGAAGTTAAAGCCCTCTGCCTCTCTCCTCTCCCCACCGTGGGCCTCTTTATTCTCATTTGATCAGGACAAAAATCTAGGGGATTGCAGAGCGCAGATCAAAGGGAGGAAAACTCTGAACAATTTGAATGCCACAAATCTTGATAGCAATGGCTAATTAAATTTCATAACCCTTCGCTCGGTGTCGACAGAGTGGGGCCCTGTTCCTCCCCAAGCTGGAACTAGGTGTTTTGTTGTGATAATTAAAGACGAAGCGCGGGTCTCTTTAATGGAGCCATCACGCTAATTGAGGTCTACACATCCAAAGACAAACAATAATGAATGTAAATTTATACCAAAATAAAGTGCAGCAAATCAAAGGGCGCCATGGCTGCGCTCGGGGCCTCTCTCGGTATTTAGATCGCGGTGAGAAAACATTAAATTAACAGAGCTTAATTTGTAGCCTTTTGTCATATTAACAAGTGTTGACAAGAGTTACCAGGGGAGAGCCCCCGTGTGGAATTGTGGGTAAAATACGGGCAATCACGGTTCATTACTCTAATTGGACCATACAGAGACATGCAAAATAGTATTTGCCACAAAGTAGCAAGTTGAGGTTGGCAAGGGCCCGAGGAAGCTGCCGTGGGCTGCTGTGGTCCAGGAGCGAGTGTGTTCGAAAGTTAAGGGATCAAGTTTGAGTTGAAGAGGCCGTAAACAAAGAGAGGACCCACTCTGGGGACCGAGATGAGACAGAGACAGCTTCCATAATTGACTTTGTGTACATAAAGAACAACATCCTGCTGTACAGTGTACACACACATGTAAGGTAATGTCTGCTTCTGTTGTTGCTGCTCTTCTCTTTAATGATTTGGCTTGATATACAGTTTATTAATCATGACAATATGTGGGTGTTGTGAGCCTTTTCACTCAAGCCATAAGGGAATACTGTAGAAAGAGTATTAAAAAAAGAAAGGATTTGCTTACTGTGGTACTAGCCATCCTAACGGATGAGGGATCTGGCCGACAGTGCCAGGTGACAGTGGGTAATAAGGAGATATATCTGGAGGATGTGGAGGCCTTGGAATTCCTGCGGAAGAAAGGAGGATGACAGGAGCAGGGAGGAGGTGGACAGACAGGATGATGACAGAGAGAGAACCAAATCTTTGTCAGTGCTGAATTCATTCTTTGTCGAGAGTTTTCACATCTGAACGGGGCAGACATCACAGGAGTGCAGATGGGAGGATGAGGAGGAGGAAGAGGGCTTGTTGCTCGCATGTACACAGTGCTAAATCACACTTCCTGATCAAAGGCCTTTGAGGCGGCGGAGGCACAATGTGTTGGAAGAGGCAGAGGGGAGAGAGGTGAGGAGAGAACACCAACACGATTCTTGTCACATTTGTCTACTGATTCAGAAGATTAATTATATAAAATGACTGAGGTTTAGAAGTTAACAAAACACAACAATATAATTAAAGCCTCCTCTGTGATCAGAGAGCTGCTAATACGGGGCTCTGGGTTGAGTCAGGCTGATTTAAACTGACGCTCTGGCTGGATGGATATGGATTCTACATGATATTATACATCAATAAGCCAATATTAGAATATATGCAACAGTTAAGATCATTAGCTGAAAGTCAGCATCAGATTTGCTGCAAATTCCTTTTAGGTTGAAGTACTTTGACTCAGATAATGGCCGACTGTTCAAAAGCTAGGCCTATGATACAGTTAATGACAATATTGATGTATGTACTGGCTTGCTGGTTTCTATTCATCCGCCTGATCCTCAGATTTAACATAAAAACGCAACCAAATTTTGTTTATCCCCCCACAGACGCATAGTGACAAAGATGTCCAATTTAAGGACAGCTCTCGTTGAGGGAATCGCCGAGCAATCGCAGCGTCCGCAGTGTTGCCTTTGCTTTCCGTGGCAGCTGACAGGCGAAGAAACTGCATCGACAAGCTGCCCTGAATGAATGCCTTGAAAAGGTCTTGTACACAGCCTGGTGTAAAAATAACTTTCTCTCTCATGACAAACTTGAAACAGGGAACACTAGACATGTGTAAAAGCACAGCGGGGAGGTGTGTGCGCTCAGTAGAGCAGGAACTCGGGGGACTTTCATTTTGGCTTTACGTGCGTTCCTTCCACACAGCTGGCTCATCTGTGCAGCTGTTGTTGCGGATATTTCTGACCAGTGCCAACACGGCCGAAGAAGAGCCAGATCGATCTTAATAGATCAGAACTTGGCCCGTGTTGGGGGCTACACCCAAACTCTGCAGCTGATCCAGGTTATCCAGGAACTGACTCGAGGGGGATTCTGTTACTGATGGACAATGTGCTGCGCTGTCTAAGCGGAAAACTTTCTTCTTGGAGTACAGCTATAACAAAGGCAAATTCTATTAAAAAGGAAAGCACTGCGAACATTATCCCATCGCCACCCAGCGCTGGAAGACCTAATATAGCTCATTAATTAATTAAACACTGAGCCCAATTAAGCAGCCCCATTAAGCACTACATTAAACAGCAGCTGCCGCATTATTTCCCCTTTGTAAGGGCCATCATAATAAGGGAACATTATTACCTAAAACACTGACTGAATCCACCAGAGACCACTGAAAAGCATGAAATTATTCCTCGCACCGCAAATGCATTAACCTGAAAGAATGGGCTGAATGACAGTTAACGAAATGAAGTGCTGGGTCAAGACGCTTGTGGAAATGAATGAAATTGCCTAAAAATGTATGCTGAATGGTTGTGGGAGAGATGTGTGGGCAGAATCTAACTGCTAAACGTGGACATGGCAGGAGCAACAGGCTGCGGAGACATAACTACAGCTCTGACAGAGCCGATCATCGAAAATCTGTATAGATCAAAGTGCTCAGGTATCCATTTTGATTTTTTAGTCGAGGACATCACTCCGAGCAGACGCTCTTTGAGGACTCTGGTCCCTGGTATTTAGATGTGAGGAACCCCAACTACAGTGGCCGTCTTGTTTTGAGTCTTGGCAAATGGAGGTGCGGTCATGAGAAGTCGTGGTTGTTTGCTGAATTCCATGTTTTACGAGAGGTTTTAGAGCCACCGTTCAGGTTCTTGTTCTTGAATGTGAGGCCACTTTCCGCCGAAGCCAAACCACGTTAATGAGCGTGATAGCTACATCAATCAGTAACAGATGAGAGCTGCAGTTGTCAACAAGAGACGACTACAACTCTGTCCCGCTGTAACTATCACAACCTCTTAAACAGTCCTAGTTATGATTCTGGGGTCATTAAATAAGCAATGCATGGAAAAATGTCTATTCCATAATACTTCCTCACATTATATCAATATTGAGCAGGACAGTAGTTTAACAATGCAGTCTAATCTTTCATATTGTAAATATGACTTCTGAGTTATCATTCAATCTTGAGTTGTTTTTACAAGACTGTGTCTACAGACAGACAGACAGACGCCATCAAGACAAACAGAGCCCTGTATATGTGAACCATGGTGGCAGGGCATAATAAAACATTTACACACCCATCGGTGCAAACACTCTCTAAGAGCTGGAGTGCCTCATCTAAGGAGAGCTGCGTCTGTGGTTTTCTCAACTTCTTGAGGTTTTCAGAAGTTTCATCCTGACACCTTTACTGTGCTGTTTTCTAACGGTGTTTTTAGCAGGAACAGAGTGCGGCAGGGATAATGTTTTTCTGTGGGCTGATCCGGAAGTTGCGTTGCCCTGGTTCCCTCGTCAAAAAGCCAATGGGACTTGTGTTTTGTTCAGGGAGAAATCTTAACAAATGAGCGTCACTCTCTGATTTCTGAGGTGTAAATGCAATCGCCGAAAGTAAAAAGCTAAAGTTAGGCTATAAAGGAGGTACACCATGGTCGCATGACTTCAGCATCAACACCACAACGAGGCTGTGTTCGCTGTGATGACGCTCTGTAGTGTCACTTAGCCACTTGTTAGCAACCGTCTTGTTTAGGACACATAAAAGCTTCGAAAATTCACGAGTGGGGCATTAACGAAACGTGAAATTCCTTTAGCTTGTGTTAACCACAGACCTAATTTCAGGATTCAAACCAAAAACCTATTCAACAAACCTATTGACTTAAAGTCGAGGGAACCGTAAGGGCTAAAATGCTAACTCACTTCCCGTTTCAGAACTCATTCCCAAGACCCCAGGAACAGTGCCGGGCTCTGAAGCCAATTTTACATAGTGGCCGAATAAGGAATTACAACGTCTGGGTCCGTCACATGATACCATGAGACCCAATGAGCCTTGTTCCCATAGACTTACATTGTGAAAGAGACAGAGGATAAATTAATTTGAGCGTCACAACCCTGGCAAAATAACTTGTTTCACGATGGGGACTTGATCCATTTGGTCTGACAATATTCTGAAAATCTTGAAGAGCTGCACAGAGAGCTAAACCAGACGTTAACCACTCAGCCGCTGTAAGTCTGTAGTGCACCTGCTTCATGGGCCCCAAAGTGCAGAAGATCTGGGTTATTTCATACTGCAGAAACTTAACTTTTTTGGCTTCATGTGCCGCTGAGCAATTTTTATAGGAATGACCAGGCCTCCGCCTCCAACGCTGTATTAGATTCTCTTTATACATCCCATGCTCAGTCTTGCAGCACTCTGTTAAGTAGCATGTTGCTAGCCAAACATATAGATGCATGCAGTGGAAAAATACTTTACCTGTTTTGGGATCCACGTCTGTCTGTAGGTGAGGTGGGGGGTTCCCCGGTGTGAAGTGCTCATTGCTGTAGGTGATCAGAGGCGTGAGAGGGTGCACATGGTGAGGGTGCTGTACCACTGGAACCTTATTAGACTGAGAGAAAGAAGAAGAAGATGGATACAGAGAGAGAAAAGGGAGAGAGAAAAGAAAAAAGGCCAGGGTGTTAATATTTGGGTTTGGGGTTATAGATTGCAGGCGCCTGCCACAGAATTACAACTTGGTCTGAAGGCTCTCGAAAGAAGAACTCTCAAATTCATGGTCCTCTCCAGGCGCCAAACCGCCAAGCCACAGTGAAAATAGTGTGGTTTGTAATTAAAAACACTTCTGCGGTGTCACCCTGGAATTCAGTAACACAATCTAAGAGGCTTGGGGGGTTGCCAGTTCACATTTGGGTCTGATGTGTGATGAGGCACTTTTAACCACGGTTGCAGTCAAGTAATCGATCATCTGTAAACCACGAAATCAAGGCAGCGCGTGTAAATCCACAGTCATTAGCAGCTCCAGTCAGCGCTCCGCTCGAGCCTCCTCCTTGGTCTTCCCTTTTCCTCGCTCCCCTTTCCCCTCATCTATTCCCCCAGGGCCTGGTTCACGGAGGGTAGGGGTGTATTGTAATAAAAGGGTTAGGAGAGAGGAGGTGGGGCTGAAAATCCATTTCTGCATTTTTGCCAAATTAGTTTTAGCTATGTAATCTTCTCTTTGTGCTCCTAAGTGGTGCAGACCCCCTTTTTTTTCAATTACCCAAAGATTACAGTGGAGCTTTAGGGGTGTGCTGCCGTGGGCCCCTGCGTTAACCGGAGCTCAGCCCCTCTCATCAGGCCAGGCTGAGACAGACACTAATACACACACACAGTCCCCCCGACCACAAGATAACCAGATTAGAGCTCTGGTGTAGATTAGGCTGGTGGAAGAGGCTGCTCTCGCCTCTTTACCCACACATCCTTATCCTGCCCTCAGCAGTCAAAGAAGCAGCACTAATCAGGCTTATCATAACATGGATGATATGTTCAGGGGGAGAGGAGTGAGACACCAAGCTGCTTGTGTGCATGTGTGTGTGTGTGTACGTGTGTGTTCAAGCTGCTCTCTCGTAGGCCACACACCCTCATTAGCGACTTTAACCCATGCAAGAAAAAGAAAAAAAAAAAAAAAAGCGCTCCACTGTGGCACATTTCCAAAAGACTTTGAAAAACATTAATGGGACTAGATGTTGGCAGGGGGGGGCATACATACAAATGATGCTCAGTTGCCCGACGCTCATTGACAATACACATGCAAAGCTGTGGGCCCAGGGCGAGACAAATGTGAGCAGAACTTAATGCTGCAAACTAATCATCTATTTGAGGATGAAGTTAATATCGGGCCCGTGCGAGAGCTTAATACGCCAACAGTCCATTCAGAGCCCTGTACTAAATTTTCACCGGGGGAGTTAAAGCTGTCCATCTGTATGGCTTGTACAAGCCTGGCCAGCTAGACCTCTATTCTGTAGTGGCAGTGGTGGGGGAGTGGAGAATGGGAGGAGGAAGGGAGGGGGGGGGGCATTCCCTATTGCCATGGTCCCAATGAAAGATTAATGAACCCCAGCAGAACTCCAGGGAGGCAGAGAGACTCCTGGGACTCATTCACAGCCCTGAGCTGAAAAGGCTATGGAGGAGAGAAGCAGAGAGAGGGGTTGGGGGTGTGTGTGTTTGTGTGTCGGGTGGAGGGGTGGAGGTGGAGGGGGCGGTAGGCAGAATGGGATTCGTTAAAAAGAAACACAAACCAAGGCGTTGCGTTGGGGCTCCTGATCTGATCTGCACATCTAGAATAGTGGGATGAAAAAGAATAAACTGGTAGAAAAAACAATCAGGATGGGGGTTATGACAGCTGCCAAATGCAGCTGATGAGTCTGCAGCTGAATGCTAGAAGATGGCCTCTGTCTCCCTCTCTTTCGCTCCCTCCTTCCCCCCCCTCTATCTCTCACCTCCTAACCTCCTCCTTCACGACTCCCTGCTCCTCCCTCGGGTAATGATGTGAAAGAATGTTGTCAATTCTTCATCTCTCGGTGCTGAAAAGCTTTAGTGGCCATTTAAATGAGTTCTTTTGTCCAGGGGCCCCGGCCATTGAGAAGACAGTTCAAAATGCCCATCCACTGAGTCCACATTTAGACAGAGGGTGTTAGAGAGGGTGTGTGTGGGACCGAGAGAGACGGGGAGAGCTAGAAGCCAGCCGATTTACATCATAGTCACTTGTGGTCTGAGAGTGTGCTCTTTTTTTTTTTACCCCCCCGGAAAGCTGGACTGACTGCTGCCTCCACAGTCTGCTCAGTCCTCTACAGACAAGAATGTTGGTGGCGTAACAGTGAATTGTTACCCAGCTTTCTATCTTTTTACATTCCTTTACAGGTCTTTCCTGTGATCCGTTGACATGGGTGAAAGCTGCCATCAGTCAAGCTCACACCCACAGTGTTAATCACCCAAAGCATTTATAGTGAGTCAGCTGATGTGGACTTCCTGTGGTTTGATGTCTTCAATAAGCTCACCTGCTCACCCTACATGCCATGTGATCACCGCACAGGCAGCATCATCCACTTTGTCTCCCACTGACGTCAAGGCAGCACCCGGTGGTCCCCTGCGGAAAAGCAGGGCCCAGCACCTGCCCCGTAGGCCACTGTGGGACAATGCGAGCCCAGGACTCGTCTGGCAGGCTCGCTGGGTGCTTCAGCCGCACCGAGCCCAAAGAGCGGCGAGAAACAAAAGCAGGCAACGTGGGAGGCTTTTACTCTCCCTGCTCGACAAAAGCCAGGGGAAAAGAAAGAACACTTCCTGCCCCTACACCCCCGCTGACTCGCATCCTTCCCACCACCTCCGTCATTACAATAAACAAATATAGCAGAAGACAAACAGACACACCGCTCTGTGGGCGCGTAAAGACCAGGTTCTCGAGCCTCAAAAAAGAGATTTGGCATTCAAAAGACCCTGCAGAAAAATTTGAGAGCACACTCTTGTACGAACATCAATGAGCACATTGACTCTTTCCTAGTCCAGGACACATACAGCGCCTGCTGCTGAGGAAGGCCAGTGCTGTGAAGTGCAGGCAGCACACTTAAGTACAGCAGACACAAACAGAAGCAGGAGTTGCCGCCTCTGGTTATGTTATTGATATTGCTTTGGCTCTATTTATTCTATTCTTTTCTTTATTTCCAGCTGCAAGGCTCACATGCTCAACGGAGAAGATGCTTATACGCCTGAATATGTTCTGCTTTTGTGTCGTTGTGATCAGCCTCTACCACACCTGTGCATCTACGAGCAAATGATGGCTAACAAACACCACTTTTTTTTGTTCTCAAAAGTTCCAACAAAGTAACTGAGGATCTGCAGTGCCCGTACAGCCAGAGTGCTACCTCAAGGGTAAAATATTTCCCTCACTAGCTGGAGACTAATGCTGTTGCGCCACCGTGTGAAAAGAGCCTTTTGGAAGTGGACAAATGAATGAGCTGCTTCAAGTCGGACCTCTGGGGAGGGAGAGGGGGGTACAGGAGAATTGCAGAGGGGGTGAGAAAGTGACAGCAGGACGGAGTGAGACAAAGGGAGGGGAGACAGAGAGGTGGAGGCCGGACAGGAAAAAGCTGTTGGCCTTGCATTTCCGCCTGGTGGCACCTCGCAGGGCCAATTTGAGCCCTAAATGTGAAGGTGGCGACCTTGCGGGCCCAGGGGGTGGCCGGGCTGGGGGGGAGGAGGGCTAGAGCCTCTGTCTCTCTGCTTCATGTCATGATATGATGAGTTGTCACAACAGCTTGCGGGGCGCTAATGAGCTGTAGTGAGGCTGGGGCAGGGAAGGGAGGCCGGGAGGAGAGGAGAGAGATGTGGGGATGACAGTGCCGTGATGGATTGGGGTCCTCTCAGGCCTCCAAATTCCAAAGCAAGCAGAAAAAGCTGCCAGAGCGCCCTGAGCCTCTCCCTGAGCGTGCAAGTGGCCCATGTCCAAAGCACATGGAGTGACAGAAAACACACACACACACACAAAACAGCAAAACTGGGAGGCAATTTGTACATGTGTGCGAGCATGTGCGCACTATTTGATTCGAGCAAAACAAAAAGTACAAACTGTGCTGCCACCGATCTAATGAATCATCTGGTATCATTCAATGTCATCCTGCTGAAATCTGTTTACACACATGATTGCTGTTTTCCTCTGGGAGGTATAGAGTGCCCCCTCCAGGCTAAAGATCTTCATCTCCTTGCAAACCGCATATCATACCAGCCAACACACACACACACACACACACACACACACACACACACACACACACACACACACACACTGGCCCTGGTAGCACTCAGTCAAATCAATCCTCAGATTCAAGCAGACAATCTAAAAGGAATACTTAGAGATTAACGGCAATGGAATATGAAATGCTCTGACAAATTAAAGGCTTATCAGAGCCTCGATCCTCCGGCATACCACGCTGATTAAAAAACCCTGCTACATTTCAGAAATAATATTTTTTGGTTAATCACTGGAGAGAGAGAGAGAGAGAGAGAGAGAAAACTCCACAATATTAAGAACCTGGGAATTGTAGAGGGGGGAGCAAAAGGATTTAAAAAGCAGATATGGAGGTGTTGATCAGTTTTCTCTCGCAGAGAAGATGCGTCTCAGAGGGCAAGGGGCTCCCGAGACCACGGTATATTTAAAAGTTAATCTATTCACTTTGCTGCAGTGACATGCCGACTGCTTGATCAGAGCGCCGAACAAAAATATTATGTGGGCCAGAGCCTTTGCTCCCCTTCCTCCTGCTCTCTTCGCTAGCACTCAAGTCGTTCGTCACCATTTATTTTTGCTTCCCATCTTTGATAGTCGGCACATCAAATGGAATCGCAGAAAGGACATGTTCTGATATGTCACAGACAAATAAAAACTGCGCACAAATAGCTTAAATATGAAGTGGTATTTGGTGGAGCTGTTGTATTCTGTGAAGACAAATCGCCTCTTAGACGCACGTGCGTTAAAGCTCCTTTTTTTTTTCTTCCTCTCTTTTCAATGTAAACAGCCTCTTGAGCTCTCGTACCTGAGTTAAAGGGGCTTCTCTGAGAGGTGATATTGTATCACAGTGTTAAGAG